AGGCAGTGGGAGCTCAGTGCCATCGTGCAAGGCGATAGGCATCCGCAGCCACCCAACAATTTCAAAAGCAAGATTTACTCCTAACACCTCCTGTAAGAGACTTCATCTCTAAAGAGAGAAGTGTTGTATGATCTGAAATTTAGAACCCAAAGCAGGGGGCAGGGAAGGAAAGGGTGAGATCCTCAGATAACGCACACTTCTAAATTCCAAAGCTACAAGACTGTGCCAGCTGCATCAAGAGATAGGGTGCAATAGTTTTAATAGAGCAAAAAGGATGATGAGGTGCTACAGAGGTGCAGTGAAATAATTTACAAAGCAACTAAATTTGTGGTGCATAAAGCAACCCCGCTCTGAAGTCTCACTGACCTGAACATGCGCATTGTCTCCCTTGTTTTCTTTTCCTTAAACCAGAGATAAAAAATGAGACCAATAAATTGTTTCCCACTATAATATGCAAGGACTGAAAAAGCCTAACCGGCAGGCGTTAACACAACTGGGAGTTTGTGTTCTCAGAAACCAGGAGGGAAGACTTCAGACAGGCTTTTCTCCAGGGTCAGTCTCCTCCACTGACTCAGAGCTTGCTTCTATTTGCTTTTTCCTATCTGAACTCCAGATCCACTGATTATCTTTCTTGTTCTGTCTAAAAATAAGTCAAACATCTCCGTTTGCCTGCCTAAATAGCCCAGTGCTGTAATTTCTCGCCTTCTGAAATTACAGTTCAAAACTCGCTTTTGATTTTTTTTTCCTCCCCTCCCATTACCAGCTCTTTAGACCCTGGCATACATGGCACACTGCTTCCTGCCTGCTTCTTTCTAACTGGGTTCAGATTAATTAACAAGAAATACATTTTTCTTGATTACAAAGCTAAAGCCCTTCTTTCTTCACAAGTTAAAAACAAGACGATAGATCTTTTCTGGATGGCGGTTTTGATGTTACAAAACGAGTATTCGATCTGCATGGTGGATAATGGAAATTTTAATACCTATTAAATGAATTGTTTTCATGTTGGACTGAGTCATGATTCGGGTTTTTGTTTTGGGAGGTTGTTTTCCATGGAAGTGAAGGAGGACTTGGAAGCTAACAGTGAAACCAGACATCAACTGCACCAGTCCCAGTGTATATGCTTAAAAAAACCCACAACAACAAGAGGTCTTGCTCCAGAGAGCATAGATGTGGCAAAGTCAAGCTAGCGAGTAAGTGAAATGATGTCAATCTCCATTTTACAGATTAAAAGTGAAGAGCCCCTGGTGTCAGATCCAGCATCTGCTACAGCATCTTGGGGACCCCACCTGGTGATGGGACTCAGGACTGGAAATGTGCAGCCATGCACTGGCTGCCTGCCTGCAAAAAATACGTGTTGGCCCCTTCTCCTAGCTTTCACAAGGCTATTAAAGCATTTCCAACTCATTACTTACAGCATACCGAGAATTAGACACCCTGGGACAGTCTGGAGGAGCGCTACGCATCCTGCGTTACCCACATTCAGCGTCCTCAGTGTGGTTTGCACTTACATGTATCCCAACAACATCACTTTCAGATTTATCAGAAGCAGACAAGGTTTCTCAGCAAAGCTTCAGCTGGAAAACCCAAGCTCACGCTGAATTCTGCAACTCAGGGAGAGATTAACTTGAGTAGAAGGAAAAAAAAGAAAAAGATGCATGTGGAGGATATACACCTCTCCCCAGTACTTCTACTACAAATACAAGCTTTCCGTCTCAGCATTTTTCAGCACCATTGCTCTTTCCATAAACCCTCGACTGGCACGACAGCACACGCTGCCTGACAAGTGCCAATTCAAGTGTTCATGCTTCAGACTTGACTACATACAGTGTTTTAATTAAGTAACCTGCTCTCTGGAGCTCACGGAAAGCTCATTTGGAAAATAACACTGACAGCAAATTTGTCACCTACGGGGAGAGCTGGGAGTTTTCGCCCAGTTCAATACTTAACCATCTTAAACTGTTCGTTGGCAGGATTCCCTTAACCCTCATACAGTTCATCTGGTTTTGCCTCTCCAAACCGTAACCCGTGCTCCTGGGCCGGACGGCTGCAGAGTCCTTCCTGCCCTTGCCCCAGAGGTGGGACCCTGCGCCCCAGGCTGTATATGCAATCATTTCAGCAGGTCACTGGCAGTCATGCTCCATCCATGCTCACACTGCTAGACCCCCTCAAAACCTTTGGAAGAGGCAGGACGTTCCTCCACACCTCTCTTGCTGAGATTTGCCTTCTTTCTTAACCAAGACTCGAATGATTTCTGTTTTAGATGGAGAATATCCCTAAAGCCACGCTGTTTAGTCTCTACATGCTACACCTCCCAAGGAGGGAGCTGTAGCAAGCACCTAGTGGCATATCTGAGAACATCTGCAGGATAAGCCCCGGGAAGGTTTCAACATGATGAACATCCTGAACTAACCAAAGATGACTAGTGTGTATGAAATCCTATAAAAGGGTCTATCGATTGCAGTGTGCATCAACAGCAGTGCTGCCTATGTCTTCTCAGCAGTCAATCGTATTTGCAAAAACAAAAACAGTAAGTGGAGAAGTTGCAGAGGAGAAGTAAAGAAGGAAGCTGATGGAAAAGGTAAACCGTAGCAGCTGGAAATGCTTAAAGTCACAGATTTTGGAAAGAAAATAAAAAACCCCGTGTCCTCCCAAGGGATCCAGCTTCACATCCTTCAGTAGTGAAAAAACAAACACCTTAAGACTCTACTGTAGGGAACAAAGAAGGAATAAGGAGCTGCCAATCCTCCCTGACCCTCACCATGCTTTGTCCCAGCTCGTGTCTGCACAACACTGGTATTATCTATCACTTTCAAACATACTGCCCATCTCCTGCATTTTTGTAATACTATCCCCTGGCATGTCAAGTACTACCTTTTGTCTGTTTTTTCTCCTCATCTCAATTTGACGTACCAGCATAATTTCTTTCTATAACAACGGCACATTTTATAATGAAAAAGACCCCCTCAACCACTGAGTTAAGTTGCTATTGAATCTTTTTCTCTGCTATAGCACAAGACTCATTTGAAAAAGTGAGTCATTCAAATGATTTAGTCTTACACATTTATGAAAATTACAAAACGTCTCTCACATGGTGTAGGAAGAGTAATAAAACCACACTGCACCCAGAGGCACAAAACAACTCAGCTACCTGCCAGTCAATCCACTGGGAGCTGTGCTTCCCTTCTGCACCCCTCCCACGGTGTCAGCTTGCCTTCTGAGCTTGTTAACAAGCCCTGCAAACCTGTTTTTGCAGGCTCAGTCTCTTCTACACAGTCCTTTCACACCTATCCAGTCCTAGCTGTGGCAGTGAAGTTACTGCCAATTTACACTGGACTGCTCTGCGCAAAGAAGCAGATGCTCCATGACTCATGCAGTGCTTACAGACCCAAGTTATGGATAACAGCACGATAATTAACAATACCAAATGTCATCTCTAAAATTCAAACATGCAGATGTTAAAGCCCATGGCATAGGACCATGTTAATTTAGGAGGCAGTGTTTGCTCCTATGAGCAGCCCTTTAATCAATACCTTGTAATCCTCCAGTGCTGTTGACAAGAGCATGGTTTCCCCTGTAGACCATGAAGATGTAACCCACACAGGACTCCTCTGCACACTGCAGCAGGAAAGAAGGTAACAAACTCCTACCCTGCAGACAACATGGGAAATCAAATACCATCTACAAAGAACTGAATGCAAGGCAATAAAAAAAAAGTGAAAGTAAGAGATGCTGATTTTCATCTATTGTTTGGATGATTTTCAGTGACTTCTGCATGTCAGAAAGGGTCAAACATTCAGACTAGACAACTAACTCTGCCCTTGAAAAAAAACAAAGTAGGAAAAAATAATGACCACTGTCAGCACTGCTAAGAGTTAAATGTCCCCAAGCAAACTGTCCTAGTCCAGCTAAGAGATGTGGTAAAAGTCAAACTGTAATAAGCTGTAAAAAGGCTGCAGTGGTACTCAGTGGCCCTTCCCTAAATGGGCTTCAAAGTGCTCCCAAGCAGAGGTATTCCACATGACTAAAGCACTGCTTTAGCTGTCACCTAGAAATGCCAGGGGATTTGGGCATTACAAGTAAAAACCTAAGATGCAGGAGGAACGGAAACTGGAATTTTCCCCATGGTGATAAGGTCAGAATTGCCACAGAATCTGTGTTTTCCATAGCCAGGCAGGACATTGTATTATCCCCTCTGGAAGGCTGCTCCTCCAGCAGCCACGAGCTCAGGAATGCAAAGGGCTGAGTGCCATCTACTGGGCTGCTTTTCCAGCTCCTTCCAGCTGCACCAGATTCCCTGACATCTTGCAAGTGCAGGCAGCCCTGCTCTTCTTAGACTGCCACCTCCGGCACAATCAGCCAGTAAGATGACACAGCAAAAAATACTTCAGTCGTAGGTTAGCTGTGAGTCCTTACAAAGAGCCTGGCAAGTTGTGAAGGGGCTCTGAACTGAGCAGCGATGTGACTGATGAGAAGGGACTGCTCCAGCTGCACAGCAGTCCAGGCACCAGCCCAGCTCAGAGCAGGGACCTGCAAACCGGAGTAGTTCCACAAGAGGCACCTCTGCATGTGGCCTGGACCACTGTGGGTGTCCACACTGAAAACACTTAGTCAGTGAATATTAGACAGTGACCACTATAATGCTGGTTATATGCCAACTGGCAAACAGAGTAAAAGGGAAGCAGCAGCTCAGGTTCTCTGGATTTTCAGATGCTGGAATGCTGTGCCCCACCCTACTGTGGCTATCTGAGCAGTACAAATCACGTTTTATTGCCTGCTACATGCTCCACATATAGGAGCGCAGTGTCACAACTGAGGAGGTCAAGTATCTAAAGCTAGCCGGAGAGACAGACCTTGGAAGAAAAGCCAAAAGCAGTGTCCCAGAAGCCCTGAAGGGGCTTCACAAAACCTCCAAGTTTGCAGGTGCTATAAAATAAAATTAAAAAACCCCACACCTGAAATTTAGTTGGACAAACAGGCAGAGTAAAAAAAGTTAGTAGAAAAGATTTATTGCTTAAAACTGTGTCTGGTTATGTGAATGGCAAGTAGGAGGTTCCCACCAGATCAGTCTGCCAGCTCATCTCTCACCAGCACAGGGAATCGCTTGCCTCCTTCACAGAGCTGCGTGTAGATCGCCCGATACAGCTGAGCTGCAGAGGCCTCTGGGTAGAGCCTGGACTCCAGGACAGGCAGGAGTTCTGCCATCATGACCTGGGCAAGAGCAAAGGAGACACGTCACCAGAGCCAGCATGCACTCTCAGGATTCCATGAAGTGAAGCGGCTGCATAACAACTGAAATCTAACCAGAGCCAATATGACTAATAACATGCTAATTGATAGACAGATGCTTTCTTTTGTCATGTTTAACAAAGGCAGAGTTGTTCATCCTCTCGCTTATGAGGTACACCAGCAGCCACCCAGCATTCCTAAAGCAGTGACAGTTCCTCTGTGGAAAGATGGCCCAGCACTGGGCTGAGATCAGCACTGTGCGAGAAGCTGAAGCTGATGTTGGTTCAGCTCTGCAACCACACAGTGAAGTGCTTATTCACCCAATGGTAAGTTCAACCCTTCACTTATGACTGTTCTGTCACCTCCCAGTTGGGTCACATTAATCCAAGACAGACAGGCAAACAGTCAACTCCATCCAGCCTAAGCAGAACAAAGCTGCACGCCTCCCCAGCAGCACAGGCTACAGGGGATGCTAAAGCTGTCCAACGTTCCCCAGCCTGGCCTCTGGTTTATTAAACCTAGCTTGTGATCGCAGCCCATGCTCTCAAACAACCCAGTGGTCTGTCACAGCGTAATTAACAGCACAAAACTCTGGGATTATGACTGTGACTGGCAACTCAGGCACAGGTGAGCTGACAGTCAAAGGACAAAAGTTAGCCTTTAGTGCCCCATTCTTAAATTAATGCTCAGAAATTCTGCCTGGGATTTTTTTTTTTTTTTCCAGCTGGCATCAGCTAATGAAGTCTGAGCAGTCTGCACATTAAAAACCCACACAGCCTACTGTACACATTGCCTTCCCAGGAGAAGAGTGGACAATCAACTGCATGCGTCAGTCACCTCCCTCAAAGCATTTTTCAGCAGTGGAAACAAAGGAAGATCTAAACAGAATAGAGTACCGGGCATCTGCAGGGAGTGCCCTTCCCTTTTCTCCATAAATCTCTGCACAGGGACAGGGAAACAGGACACAGTTGCTAATCTCTGGGAAGAGTAAAGAGTTGCAAACATGAAAGCTACCCAAGAAGAGAGCTGGCACATGAAAGAGCGCTACACTGCTCCACTTCCTAAGAGAAAGCCCCTTCTCTTCCACCTGCCTGGTCTGCTCCTGATGCATAAGAATAGAAGAAACAGGCCTTCACCATCAAAGACAGGCTAAGAGCTACCAGGACTTTCTACGATTCTCGG